GCTGCCCAGGGAGGTTGTGGAGTCTCCTACTCTGGAGGTCTTCAAAACCCGCCTGGATGCCACCCTGTGCCACATGCTGTAGGTGTGCCTGCTTGAGCAGGAAGGTTGGACTAGATGACCTGTAGAGGTCCCTTCCAACCTTAAATATTCTGTGAATCTGTGAAAACCAAAAGGAAAGAAGGGCGTTTCCCCACCTTGACTGCATTTCTGGTTGTGCTTTGACCTGCTGCTGGGCAGCTTGCTGGGGCGGTTGGCACTGGGCTGGCAGGGCGGGCGGCGGGGACGGCTGCGGCGGCGGCTGCTTCGGCGGCTGCTGCTGCTGCTGCTGCTTGTAGCGGGACAGGCTGAAGAAAAGGCCCAGGATGGCCTTCAGATTCCCATTCCTGATTTCTGAAAGGCAAGTTGGAGAAGTCACTCATCAGGCAGAGTTGGTGCTGCTGCCTGCGCCCAGCTCCTTTAGGATACGACAGACTTTCTGCACATCTCAGATGTAGGACAGCTGATTCCCAGTGAGCACCCACCACAAATAAATAATTTCTCCCCTGCAGTGACTGCAGCGGATATCTTGCATTTCTGCTGCATCCTGTCTCTTAATGCTAGTGTGCTTAAATAGATTGTTCCTTTAATTAAAGCCGCCCCAAATAACCAACAAATATACAGTAAATATATTAACAACATCTCAGTGTAAATGGTTTCACAGTTCTAAATTTAYATGAGGAGAAGAAACTGCTCCGTTCTCACACATCATCGTATCGTTTTTCCTATATCAGACTAATGGTTTCCATTAAGAGAACAGAAGTTTTGCAAATAGGAAATTTCATTACTGTGTGGAACTCCTGTATTAAAGCAGATAATTACCTGTTTTAAATCATCACAAGGTAATAAAGAATGGACATAGCCAAGATACCTAAAGGTAGCTTGACAATGAATGCATACAATTTTTAATTCTTAAAATTCCTCCCGTTCTTTTATGTAATATCAAACACACACCAAAAAATAAGAACAAATAAGAACACAGTGRTGAAAAAGCAGGCAAAAAAACCCCACCGAACATGTAATTAACAACTATATCACAACACATGCACATGAAGGCCAGTTGTTGAGCACAACTTTGATAATATGGTGTGATCAAATAATTTATCATGTTTCATTTCCTAAATGTGAAAAGCTGCATAAATAAACAAACCGCTTAATTTTTGCATGTGCTCTAGATAGCACTTATGTCAATAAAACTTACTGTTGCTCCCTGCTTTTCAGGGTCTCTGCATGGATTGGTGCAAGAGGGGGATGAGAAGCACACACGGCAAGACAGTGGCCAAGGAGAGGCCAGCAAATCTTGGGCTCCCTTCTCCAAAATTTGCTCCCCTTTCTCCCTTAACTTCCAGCTTTGGAACAGCTCCTTGTCCTCTGCTACACCCTTCCTTCCTAACCATTGATCTGGTTTTTCTCCTCTCTTAATTTTGCTTTGGCCCACACTCATCTCCTTGATGACTTGCACCTTATATCTCAGCGGTCCAGTTTATTACCCAGACCCAGAACACCCAGTTTCCTTGTGTCAGGGACCTGAGTTTAGTTAGAGAGGATGGCTGATCAAATTAGATGGTAAAATAAAATAGGCAGAAAAGGCAGCAAAAGGGATCTCTCATTCTTCATGTAGGGAACCATAACTATGCAGGGCAATTGTAAGTAAAGTAGCACTTAGTCATAGGTCAAAGCATCACTGAACATTCCCAGAGGCTTAAAAGAGGAAGCTTAACTGCACAAATACTGGCCAGAACTAAAATAAGAAAAATAAAGAAATAAAGAACAACAACAGCCACAACAACAAACCAACCAAGCAAACAAAACGCCATGAATCTACACACTTGAACTCCACAAAATTATGTGCAGTTGGAAACAAGCACTTGCTTTCAGTGGAGAGGTGATTGTAGGCTTTTCCTGCAGGTTTTGAAGTGAGGCATTTCAAGCCATACTTTTAGCACCAGCTCTGTTAGCTTAAAGAGGTAGGTCACCTGGCAGTTAGCCCCTGCACTTTGGACAAAGCGAGTACTTCAACCTCATTAAAGCCAGCCAAGCAGTGTAGTCTGGGTTGCTTCCTGCTCTGGGTCCCCTCTTGTCCATATGTTGGCTTCCAGGTGCACACTGATTTAGGTAAGGATCGACATGTAACCCACTCATTTCAACCTGGAGCCCCAAAAGTCTGATTTTGTCCACTCAAAAGAGCCACTTCTGATGTTTTAGAAGAAAGYGGAATTTGCTTTGAAAAGAATTCCTTGAAATCCAGCAACTGGCAATTTCCATATTTTAATATTTCTATTGCTACTTGTCACACCCACAGCTGTAACTTCTACCTTTATAGGTTGCCAAATATCCTTTCTCCTACGCTGAAAATGCATTGGACTCGGTGGATATCAGACAAATGGGATGAAAAGATAAAGAAAGGAAAGGTCTGTTTGATAGGTTAGATCTTTTCCATAGAGGTGTGCAGCAGCTATCACCAAGGCAGTTGGAGTTTCTATTGCACATTTATGTTCTCCACGATCTTTGAAATCTGCCCAGTGAGGAAATGCTGTGTGAAGGACGAAAAGATTAACAGGAAGGCCACAGCTTCAAGAGTCTAAGAGGTTGCTCTATATGGGAATGAGAAAGAGCATGGGCACAGGCACACAGCTCAGAGGGACAGGCAACAAAAAACAGCAGCAAAAGCAAGAGGACAAAAGAGTTCTCCAGCATCTCCATCATTTTGGCTTCAGTATCTACAAATGGGGAGTTTAAGAAGATTTGAGGATTTAAGATTTGGGTTTGGAGTGCCTTCTGGGCTTCATATTGCTCTGACCAAGGGGCCTGTCTGCAGCCTGTTATGGTCATCAGCAGTGATCAGCACCTGCATACTGAAACAGCATCTTTTTTTTTTTCGTGTAGAAGCACCAACTTCCATGGTTGTGGCACTGCTTATTTTAAGTGGCTTTATGTTCTTCTCACTCTGCTTCCTTCCTCAACATGGTTAAGGAGCGTCTCTAGGAACAGAAATTTAATTTAACRTCAAAATCAAGTGTCAGAAAACTTCATTTTATAAAAAATCTCCTTCACTCCCCTGCTCTTTATTTGTCATTCTTCTCTTTTACTGTCACCAGTTGAGCTGGTAAAAATTCTCCCTTACAGACTCACAATGACAGTGGTTTGCTTTTACTTTCTGTACGGCTAAATATGTTAGTTCCTAGAAAGAGCGAAGTGTGACAGAAAATAAATAAATAAAAAATAAATGGCAGAAGCCATTGGACAGCCTGTGTCCTGCTGAGGCTGGCTTGGCAGTTGGTAGGAGGGCAGTGAGCATTAACCTGGCTGTCCCTTCCCCAGTATCTAGGCTGCACTGCCAGCTTTTCTCATCACATGCTACTTGGCTTGGATTTTGCTTCGTATTGAGATGGGTAAATAATGTGAAATCTTCTTCACAAGACTTACAGACACAGAACAGTGTGCACGATGGGTTCTCCATGCAGTTCATTCACTGTGGCTTTCCTAGAGCGTATTTCATATACATTGTCCATTGTCAGTATGGGAGAGTTTCAGCTAAGACTTGATATCATGATCCGAAAGCATATAGCTTCGGCTTCATAAAGATGAATGGAAGGAATGAAAGAAAGCAAGCAGAAAGCTCACAGAGAACAATAAACTGAATAAAATAAAATGAAAATTAAATTAAAACCCTAGTGCAGTTTTTTTCAACCTCGTGAAAATCTATCCTGTGAAACAAACCTGGAAGTAGCAATTTCTGAGCACCAGACTGGCTATAAAATGTTATAACAACAGCACTAGCTGCCTTTTATTTGCATTTCCAGAGTGAAAAAAAAAGCATCTCCTATTTATGAATAAAAAAATATGACTCCGTATAAGGGGAATTCTTTCTCCCCACATCCAGCAAATGCAAAGTATTTGAAAGTATTTTTTTGATGAATGTAAGAATGTATATATATTCATAACACTTGTCCTTATAATGCTACCACTTGTCCTTTTCTCCTTTTATTTTTTAAAAGAGAAAGGCCACWTTTTCTTTCTGTGATTGCATAGGAATAGAGACAAAGCAAGACAGGGAGTCGATTTTAGACTATTTAGAAAAATTAAATAAATGTGTTTTTGCCTACACAAAACAATGAGACATCCTCACTGGCCTCTGAATATAGATTTTTTTCCATATATACCAGCTATTCCAATAAAAAGTATTAGCCCATTTTTATATTTTCTCTTTCCTTCTTTGTTTAGGTAAGAGAATTCTTTCAGAGGAAGAAATCGTGGCTTTAAATAGCAGCTGAACAAAACTGCTGTTCCAGCATCCTTAGATGAAAGTGTAGGTGAGAGCTGGTCCTGGGGATTACAGATCTCAGTTTGACCTGTTTATAAGGCAGCAGATGGACGGCTTCTCTATCAGCAGGTACTGCACATCCCGACATATGCCACTTACTGGCATCAAGGAACAGGGTACACCAAATCACCCGGAGTCATGAATGGGTCTTTAAGAAATCCTGATGGTCTTTGTAATCAGCCTATCTAGCTGGAGCTCAGAAATTCTTGTTGTTGTTGTTTTAAATATTGGGATTTTATTGTCTCTTAAATCAAAGAAAAGAGAAACAAAAGCAGCATCTTTTTTAGGTAAGAAGGTAATTAAACAATGAGGAAATAAATAATTGCTCTCTCAAAAGACAGGCAACCCCCAACAGTTCATTTTAAGTGTCTGTCTGCACTCTAATCAATGTGTCAATTACAGAATTTGAATGAAAATTTTCTGACTTAACAGAAATAATCAAGAGTGTCTGAACTCTAATTCAGCTATATGTATGAGTCTGCAGTGCAGATGTTAGCTGTTACCTACCTTTCATATTGAGATGTGGGAAAAAAGAAGTAAACAAGAACAAAAAAAGTTTAAATTATTCCTATTAATTAGAATCTTCCCTTACRTCCATCTTCTGGTTAAAATCACAAGCAGCAATTCAAGTTTCTCATTTAAAATGAAAGTTCAAACAAGTGACTGACTCACCTTCTGCTGACAGCCCCTGTATGTTAATTCCTTTAGCAGCCAGGAAACTCAGGCATGCATCTATGTTTTCAATCTATTGATGAACAAAAAACAAAACAAAACAAAACAAAAAAGACAGAGAGACAAAGAAGAATATGCATTTTAATAAATGTTTAATCTCCCACCGTGTTTTATTGCACTCAGTCTTTGTAYCACATAAAAAGTCCCTTTGCTCATAACACGGAAGCCAAAACACTAGGAAAATACCTAAGTCGCTATGATATTAAAATGATCAAATATTGAACTCATCAGGACTATTATTTGTACTTGTATGAGGCAAGTTAGTTAGTAGTCTTATCAGCAATAATGATCCCTATATATCTTACTAAAGGGTCAAAGATATTATGCCAGGATTTTTGACCTACGGTAAGTACAACAAACGTGAAACCGAAAATAAATGTGGAGGCCACATTTGTTGGAGGAGGCGGACTACCACTTGTCCWCAAGCTGACAGATGGCCAGATTTCCAGCCACCAACGCAGTCTAATATAAGAGCTGTAACTGGAAACCCCACCTGGAATCCAAAACATGTTTAATCGTGAGATTCCCTGCATGGCAGAAATGACAGACTCCTCRCTATGGGGCAACTCTTGCCCTGGCACCATAGAGCTGGTGCAGCTGCACTACGGTGGATGGGGTCATAGAATCATAATGGCTGGAAAGGACCTTCAAGATCGAGTCCAACCATAAGCCCCTCGGATGAGTGGCCTGGAGCCAGGTGGGGTCTGCACAACGTTGCTGAATGGTGATGGCAACACCCRTGATACACAGGCTGGACCCCAACCCCGCTTCACAAGGCCAAGGCCAGAAGCGGTGGACGAGTTAGGCCTGTTTTCCCTATGTCTCAATATCCCAATGGAGACAGGGTGGTAGCTTCATGCGTGCTCTAGCACCAAGATACCTCCAAAGTTTTGCTGTTATATCCATAAGAAACAGAGCTGCCGGCCTCCCCAGACCAGCGCCAAAGCACAGGTGCCCCGGGATCTTTCCAGCCACAAAACACTAGGAAATTCATTAGTCTGTAGCCACACACAGGCCCTCTCCATCATCAGTGCTGCTGAGCACTTTTCACCTTTGTCACGGTAATCAGTAAGAGATTTAAATGCCTCTCCATGTTCCAACATCTTGCAGACATTGATTTATTAACTCCCCAAACGCCGCTGCCAAGCACTACCCCCGTTTACAGAGGTAGGCCTGGCTCCACGCCGGCCGCTGCAAAACTCCATTTCCTTCTTGTGAGCGTGGAGRGATCAGCAAGGCCCATGGGCTCTGCTTGCCTGCACCAGTTCCCTTCCCCGGTGCTCAATAACCCTTTCGAGTTCCCAACACGTCGCTTTTATTGAGGCAATCAGTGACTTGGCTGAAAAGCCAAAGTTCACCATTGCAAGAATAAACACTGAAGGAAAAGCASCGGTCTCCTACCTGCTCCTAGCACCTGCACTTAGAGGTGTGCAGTCCCCTGCCCCAAATGAATTCCCAGTTTTGCACAACTCCRAGGAATCTGCTTTCATTAATATTTATGTAGCAACACCTGTGATACCAGGAGTCATGCGGCAGAATGATAGGAATAAGGGTAATTAGTTCATTTTTAAGAAAGACTAGGAGTTTCCAAAGGAAAAAGGAAGAAATCGGGACAAATTCAGGAAGAAAATAAAATGCAAAGCACAGGTTTATGACTGAGCTTCTTAAAACCTGGAGTTGGCAGAAATTCAAATTTCATATGATGGTGTCCTACACGAAAATCATTYGTGCTTGCCCTCCAGTTCCACACAAGCGAGGTTGCTGGCTCAGTCTCAGCTTAGCAAAGACCTTCTGCTCGGGTCCTGCAATGACTCTAGACACCAAGTGCAGCTGCGTCCTTGAAGCCACATTATTCAGCAGCAAGTTCTCACTGCGAGCCCTTTCTGGGCCGAGTCCACATATTGTTCGAGCCCTTCAGGCAGATGTGAAGCGACTGCAGATTTGCCAAAGGGGAGCGTGTGTTTGCTTTTCCACCGTGAGCTGTGACTGCTTTTTGGCTGACAATTYGGATTTCTCATTTCCTCTGCCAGCAAGGCTGAACACGGCAGAGGCAAAGCAGGAAAGATGGCAGTTCCTTYCTACCCAAAAGAGGGGGAAATTGTGTGAAGAGAGAAAAAATGCAGCGGCACATATCTGCAGTGATCATCTTACTGAAGCGCGTTACAGACTGTGCRGAACTGAGCAATTCCTTGCAACACACGCACCTCGAAAGCATCCAAAAAAACGCAGTGTTGAAACACTGCATATAAAGTGTTTGCAGTATAAATGTCAAAGCACAGTGTCAGTTTTACACCACGCAAGGCAGTTGTTTGCTCTGAAATATCCTTGAACTAAACAACAGGCTCTAAGCCCCGCGGGGCCTGTGCCCCAACAGCAGCTCTTCCCTCCCCATTGGAGCCGATGGGTTTTAGAACTCAAAAGGGCTCTACAAAGGCAGGGGGGCGATTGGAAGGGACAGGTAATCCTCCCTCTGTGCTTTTAATTTACTCCTTAAGACAATAAAAATGAGTTTATTTGGGGTCCCCCTCCACACGCAGTGTATAAGCTCTGGTGTTGTACTTGCTACACACRATATTTTAAGGAAACGCACGTACATGTTTCAAGCCGTGGAAGCAGTAGGTATTTTTGTTGCATGAGTCTAAGCACCGATCTCTTTGCAGRAAAGTAGGATTAGGAGCCAGGGAGCATCTATATCTCTTTGTATTCCCTGATTTCTAGGTGCTTTTTGAAGGTGGAGAAGCAGCAGGATTCCTACCAGACCTACAAGCTCCTCACTCCCTCCTTGCTTTGGCACATGTGGAACTTTTACACATACCAATCTAACCACTTTGCCCTATCCCTATATACTGATCAAAACACATTTATTTAATTCTTATTTCACTGTTGCTTTCCCAGCCCCATTAGTCCCTGCTCTCAGAAGGACCTTACGGTAATTGTGTATTTCTGGCAACACCAGTGCAATGAGCAAGGCAGACTCGGCTTCTATTCCGATCAGTGCTAAAAGGAAAAGGAGCTGGGAAACGTGCCCTGACCTGCACCAGCTGTGTAGGGCACATCAAAACCAAAGCAAAGGCCAAAATCCCCGCAGAAACATCCCTGCTCCTCATCGCGCAAATAGGAACCCAGGCGTGGGCACCGATGTGTGTTGAATATCGGCTATATTTGACAGAGATTGGAAAGTGGAAACCAGCTAAAAGCAAAGCCGTACGTCAGCGCAGCCAAGGCAAGCAGAGCAGGGCAAATTATAACTCCTTGGGATGCAGCCAGGCGTTGTTCTCGAGGAAAAAAATCAAAATTGAACTTATTGCTGTAGGTGCCCTCGCTTAGGAACCACAGGAAGCATCTGATTAGTCTCCTTACTGCAAGAAATGTCATTGTTAGAGGCAAGATCTCAACCCCCAACTTTCACAATGATTTTACAGCTGYGTTTTTATGAGCTTCTCCAGAAAAATGACCACTTACACTGAAACCAGCACTTTCCGTCTGACCTAAGACTCCTGTCCAGGAGATTRGTTTCCAAAGAAGAAAAATAAAGATTGATTTCATGCAACTGTAAAAAAAGATTACAAACCCTTATTACAGTGGAGTCCACATACAACCTAGAAGCCAGGAACGAGTGTAGTGCAAGCAGTTCTCAGCAAGCTGTTTCATAAGGCAAAATGTACTTTTTTTGTCTCTGTTTTCTGCTCAAGRTCCTATATTTAACGTTTTTACTTCATAAAGTTTAGAAAGAGCCTTTAAATGTTGGAACAGTGCATTGATAACTCTCATAAATCCTGTGCCTTGGAGGAGAGGGTAATGTTTTTCCCCTCAAATTAAGTTTATTATTCATTTGCATGATTTCCTAAATATTAAAGCAGTATTATAAATTCTCTTTTCCTCTGAAGTACTAATTCAGTACTAATACTTGTACTAATTGTACTAATTGTACTAATTGTACTAATGTACTAATTGTACTAATTCAACTGCTTTGCTTAAAATACACCTTTGTTAACATGTATCCTGATCAAAATGTACTTATTTTTTAAGAAGTAGTATGTTGCTACCAGTGTTCACATGCCACCCCCAGCTATCTGGATAAAAAATGTATTGTATATTCAATTTCAGGATATTGATAGAGCTTGGTGGCTATTTCAGAACTCCAGGATGGTCCTAGCTCTATATGGACCTATGATTCTATGATTCATAGGACCTAGGTCCTGACTCATTACAAATAACATGTTCAAACTTCAGTTTGCAGCAGTAATTCAGAAGTTAAGGAAACCCCCAGAGCAGAGAAACTCCCCATTTTGTYACACGGGTTAACTCAGTAGAAAGCTTTGTACTAAATACCACTGTGCTCTGTTTTCTTATTACACGAACAATTACAAAAATAAAGCAATTATGCAGAGACATGTTTTAAATGACACAAATGAACTACAGTTTGGCCTCACAATGAATGAAACTTTGTATTTTATATATATATAAATACATATACACATATATATATTTATATATCTCTTCCAATACTCAGGCACAATAAAGGAAGGCAAAGACACCATCCAATTTCCCATTTTTCCCATGTACTTCTGCGGCATACCCCTATTTCCTTTATGCARTAGTTCTGTTTCACGCATTTAATCTCCATGAGGTTAGAAACTTAGGTGTGCAAAAAGTGATAATGCAGCTTAATCGAAAAGTGAGCTTATTGAACACAGGCTCTTGATACAGCTTTACAGCAAAGCTCCATGTCCCTGGTTTCCTTAATAGCTGCTTTTAAAAACAGATCCCTGTTGTTCCTTGTGGAGCCTTGCTCTTTCTGACTCAGGTGCCGTCTGAATTTCGGGACATGGTACAGGGTGAAAGGAACCCCCAAGCAGACACAACGTCCTGCTTCTCCATCCCTGCAGGCAGTACCCTTAGGGTTCCTTGCTCCTGGTGTTAGGCAGATATCTCTTAGCTTTAGGGATGCTTTATGATGCATTAAGGCATGAGGATGGACATGCTGGTCTCTCCCGGTCATGTCTAGCTCTGTTTATCACGTTATTTCCTGCACAGGACGATGGGCTATGGTCTTATTTAGACTGCAAACTCTGCAAAGGAGAAGTCCATCATCCTACAGTGCCTGCCTCACCGATAATAATATATAAAAAGTAGGTAGAATAGCCTAAAAACAGTCTGAATACCTGGGAAAAAAAAGGGGGGGGGGAAAGAAAGAGACAGTAAGATGAATCTTAACAAAAAGACACAGAAAAAAAGAAATATAAGTCTACACTGCCCAGTGGGTCATCTCTACCATAAATCATGCTTTTCTAAGTGACAACATGCAGAAGCCAAACTGTGACATTTATTACAGAGCAGTGGATGGAAAGAGCGTCTTAGGAGACCTCTGGTAGAGGGCTGAGGCATCAGCTTCATGGGAAAACGTGTTTTTTAGGCTCACCCAGGAGGAGGTTTTAAGGCAAATGCAGTCCCAGGCATTGCTAAGGTGGCCGCCCGGCCGCAGCCAGAAGATGCCCTGTTACACTAAGGACATTAAAATGCTAAAGCTGCCCTGACAGCAAAGATACAGGCCAACTAATGCAGGGCAGGGTTGGGGAAGAAAGGCTTAACAGAAGACGCAAAAATTCCCTTTACTCTGTTTCTCAGAGCAACCTTGGAGAAGTTTTACTCGAAAATACCTGACTATTTTTAACTGTTGGTATGCATTCCCAAAAATCCCGCACCAGGAATTTGCAGAGGGGGAAGAAAACAAAAATGCTTGCGATGCTTTTGATCTTTGGTGCCGAGCTCTTTGCCTGAATTAGCAGCACATTCCCTGCCCTGGCAGAAATGGGCGGCCCGGCGGCCGGGCCTCGGCTCCCATTAATCTGGGGGGGCAGGAACAGCCTCTGCCTTTTTACTGCAGCCAGCCATGGCAACGTTGGGACAACAGTGGATGTGTAAAAAAGAGGCTGTTTGGAGGAGCAGGTTTGAGTGGATGCCAGTTCTCCAAGAAGAAAGCCAGAGCAAGGGTGAAGCAGGAGGCCTGGTCATGCTGCTGGAGCCCAGCTGCTATTTTTAACCCCTACAACCAGTTCATTCTCAAAGGGAAAGGCGGCAAGTGGGTTGTAGCAGTGATAAATATGACTGTGAGTAACATGGGGGTGTATGTTTAGCAGTAACCAGGAAACATCTGGAAACAGCAAGCCTAGGAGTCAACTGAAGGCCGCCACGGTGTGCCCAGGACGTCCTCCCGTGCTGGATGAACAGCAGCTCCAGTGCAGCTGCAGGGCAACTTAGGAGACAGAAAGGGCAGTTTTCAAAACTAGCAATGATAATTTCTGTGATAAAAGTGCAAGAAGCAAAGAATACTTAAACTTCATTCTCATTCTCCTAATGGATATTACACAGAGTCCGCTCCATGGTTGATGTGGGTAGTTGCTCCTCACACTATCCCTGCCAAGCCTCGTTTATCCTTCCTCATCTCTACACTTCAAGTATGGGTCATACCACAGCAGCATTCGTGCTGAGGCCTTTTTTTCATATGATGGTGTCCTACACGAAAATCATTTGTGGCCTTTTTAGGCCTATTCCTCCCCCAGATCACAGACACGTAGCAGGAGGTGSAGCTGGCAAGGGTCGCACCAAGGATGGAAGTGAACAACCAGCTTTAACACTTAATTGAAACACTTAATTGCTGCTCACTGTAAAACAGAGGCCCTACCAGGCTGTAGAATTTTTATACAATCTGCACTTTGACTTGGGTGCCCAGAATACACTCTAGAACATTTCCAGAAAACAAGAAAATGGTCGAATAATAAAATAAAATACAGCTGCCATCACTGGAATAAGGTTTCTTTGCAAATGAAGTGAACATATAAAAAYCAATGGCCTTGGTTTCCAGTTTTATAAAGTTCTTGGGAAGAAATGTGGAGTCTGGCCCATGCTGCTATAAGGGATTCTTTATATTTGCGAGATAGATGATCAGTAGAAGAAAAGGCTGAACAGTATTTTACCAGTAAGGCTTAATATCTGCATCAGAAAGGGAGAATTCTTGAAAAACTTTCAGGTGAACCCACAAAAAAGATACATATGTCCTCTTTGTCCTAGATGGTTCCATCACGCACAGATACATATATTCACGTAAAGTGATCGCTTTTAAAAAATAACAAAAAACAACCACAAAGACCACATAAGAACCACAGTTATTTCCTACTCTATTTATAGGAGAGAATTGTGGTCTTGGTTGAGCCTRCATTCCTTCCTGTTTCTCCAATTTCTCGTCTTGGATGCCCCATAACTTCCCCAGGCTGAGCCTGCAGAGAGCAGAGAGTCTCCTTTATCCACCTACAGACCTGCCCATCTTTTTTTCCCTTCACCATTGACAGGTTTGCTGTCCACTCCACTTCTCCAACTTYGACACTTCACATTTTAGTTCTCTCTAGAGTTCTGCAAAACTTCAACCTTTTTTTTCCCCCAACTTTGAAAAAAAATCAACTTTCTTTTCTCCTTCCTCTTTACTCATACTTTTTCCTAAACATATCCAGATGTYCCTTATCTCTTTCCTCTGCCACATTCAGTATTTCTTGGCTTTGTGCTCCAAGTGGAAGGAAAACCCTACCCTTCCTATATGACACACCGGTTTTGGCTTCTTCCACCCCCTGCAACAKTGGCAGCTCCAGCAGTGATCAGCTGCCCTCTGTGTCTACCAACACATCCTTATATTAGCAARTATCTCCCCTCTTCTTTGCCTTCAAGGCTATGCTTTAAAAATCACTTCARCATTTTATAAATGTAAGTGATAAGAACTTATGCTTATTTACAACTATCTTAYTCCAAAAATGGCTAGAAGAGGAAAGTGGTTTTGTTTCAGCCTCCTTTATGCACTTTTCAAGAAGTGAGCCAATATTTTCTTATGCTTCATTCTACACAGCAAAGGGCAATTGTGGTAACAGGCTCCACATTTTCTTGGCTGCAGAACCTRTACTCCATACTACTACATCCTCAGTTCACCACAGGATTTAATGTGTGCCAGCTGGAACTGATCATCACAATTATAGGCTTTTGTTCAGAGAAGTACCTACACTACAGAAACGTAGAGGACTGAAGGGTTTGCGGTTGAACTTGATGATCYTGAAGGTCTTTTCCAACTATAATGATTCTATGAAATAAACAAACAAAACAAAACAAAAACTAGGCAGTGATATATTAAAATGCATCAAAATGCAAAGGATGCAGACTGCCAAACCTAAACCTACAACGTGACTTACGTTCTTTTCCTGAAGTGCAGGAAACTTGGAGAAGACTCATCTCAAACACGGTGAGCACCCACGTGCCCACCACCTTTGCCAGCACTTTGTGAAGCCTCTCAAGGTCTCACCTCAGCTCTGACAGCCTGTGTGCTTGAGCAAAGCAAGCTCCAAGCAAAACCCTTGGTGGGACCACCATGGGGAAGCACTTTGACGAAGGCCCTAAGCTCAGGACTAGGGTGACACAGAGCAGCCAGCTTTACTCACCCTGCCCTCTTCAATGAGCAGCCAGAATAAATGTAAAGCCCTCCCAACACTTCACAATTCCTGATATAGCACATGCCTTCTGATGCTTTTATAACCAGATCTGACTTCTATAAACAGCCTACAGTGTGGCATCTGCCTGTATAAAACAGAGTAGCTCTGTTCCTTCCTGGAGAAAAATGACTTACTCTGAACTTTCAGCTACCGTATTAGGGAAGTTGTCCAGTCCTGAACGAAATTCAGCTCTTAATGATACATTCGTAGAACATTAATAGTAATTGCCAACATTTTCTCAGTTATTTATACTGTACACAGACAGCTGCCGTGGTTACAACAAGAATAGCAAGCAATCTCTTCAAAGCAGTAAAATGTAGCAGCGATAAACCTGCGTAGATGCCTTGCTTTGTAAGGAGTGCAGAAGATAAAGGAGATAGATAAACTAAAGGACATAGGTAACTCCCAAGAGATAAACAAAAAGCCAAAGCAGAAGAGCAGAGCCCAGTGCAGTTGCTGGCTTATGATGACAAACTCTCATCAAATCTGGAATCCTTTACATCAGTAAAGGATACATCAGTAGCCATAACCCAGACCTGGGGATGGGGGTAACTGGGAGAAGATGTAAAGATGTAAAAACAAAAGACACCAGAATAGCTCCACATACATAAAAGATATCAAAATATCCACAAAGGAATACGTGAGATTCCTCAGTTTCTTCCTACTTATGTTCTCAGTGAAGTTCTMTCTATAGTCTTATCTTCATCAATACTCATAGCAGAGATACTCTTAACGTATGACGTGCTTTTATTTTTACAACACTATGTTTTTTTTCTTCTGTTTCAAATATTACATTACCAAAAAGATACATTACAAAATAGCTAGTAAAGATACTATACAAAAGAGCTTATTTTTCAAATTAAATCAGTCAAAAAGGAGATAAAGAATTAAAACAAATCTTGAAGCCTGCAAATTGGATTGTGTGTGTGGAGGGGTTATTATTAGTAGTTATTTCGCAAGTTTGGGCCATTTCTTGTCATTATTTTCAAAAAATAAAGGGATCTTAAAACATTTTTAAAATATATACCCAATTCTGCTTTTGCAATGCTATTGTCGAGACAAAGAAGCAGCACTTTAGTTTTATATGTTCTGTTTAACTAGGCGATATTTCAGAAAAATAAAATATCAAGGTAAGAGCAGGTGCCATTGTAAACACATGATTAAATGATAAGGCCTAATTCAACTCTTGTGGAATACAAGGGGGCAAGAAATACCATGTTAATGTTCTGTGGCAAATTATACCTTTGCCTTCACGGGTGTGAGAAACTCCTCTGAAAGTTGTTTCTAACAATCTCACTTAGACATTTAAGTCACACATTTTAAATGTTCAACCACCCCCACGCAGAAAACAGACCACTTGAATACTTACCATTTGAGATCTATTTTTGGGGCAGCCATTGATGTCTTCAATCTTTTCGTTTGCTGCAAAGCAAAGATAAAAAGTAAAGCAAAGTCTATCCCAAGGACATTTATGCCAGTTATTTCCAGAGCACTTGCTGCTAGTTAAAGAAGGGGGTTTCAGGCTGGGGTTGTCCAATGAAAGCGAGTGTGGGAAACACYGAGACCCATCACGAAGAGCAGCTGGACTTTTCGCGTGGGCCAGGCCTCCAGAGACAGCTGGAGCCAGCAGACAACTGCTCTGACATCTTGTACAGGGTCGGGCAACTCCTTTATACTACAAAATACATAAATAAATGAATAAAACTTTGGAAACTGCATCACTCCGGAGCAGGAAAGCATGCACTACATATGCATTGATGCTTGCACGTCATCCTGATTTGCCTGTAGAGTGAACAGAGTTTTTAAACGGAGGCAGGAAAAATGGGAATAAAGCTGATTTAAGCACACACTGTGAGATTTCTCTTCAGGCTCCGTACTGATGGCTCACCTGTAACACAATTTGTGGAAAAAATAGTGGGGTTCAATCTTTAAAGACCCAAGTGGAAGCAGCAGACTGAGCCTGAACTTGCTTGGTTTCACCCTGAAATAACATTTGCGTACTAGCCTGAACAAGCAGTTACAATCAAACTTGTTTTATTTCACTGCARTCACTTCTTTGATCAGTTGAGCAGATTTACACGCTGTCGATTCTTTTGTTTTAAGACCTGTTTTCTTCCTGCCACGTAATCTCCAGGCAACAATCAGAGCTCTGTCTAATTTTCTGTCATTTTTCGGTTGGGAATATCAAATTTGGGACAGTTTCCCAATAGCAGTCATAATGTTAAGCACAGAAGGAGTAAAACTCCTTTATTCCTGCCTGGCATTCCTCCCTTGATATATTAAGGTGTCACAGTACTTCCTTATGCCACTGTATGGCATTAAGAACTGATGTTAAACTGAAAAAGACATTAGAAGACGTTAGAGATCAGTCAGAACCARCTCTCTAATTTCACTTCATATTTGGTCACACAGAAATGTGATTTCCTACCTCTTGTTTTCCAAATCTCTGCCTCCARTTTTTTTACTTATTCTTCCTCAGATTTGCATCATGCAATATCTTTGTTTATAAATTAAAATTTGCAGCAATTTCAAAAAGTGATAGCRTATTAGTTTGATAAAGCCTTATTGCTATCCATTTGCCCTGGTCATAACTAATACTTGAAAGGAGTCTAATCAAGGTTAAGACTGAAGTTTGGAGACAGTTTCTCTCATCCTCTTTCCTAAGCCAGACAGAACAAACAAGACAAAGTCTGTAATAAAAGTAATAGTAAATAGATATAGTGCTTTCATTGACAGTATTTTATTAAAGCAGAGAAAAAAAAATCCAACTAGCCTGGGTTACAGTATGTGTTAGCATCAATCCTGAGTTTGAAAACTGAAGAATCTAACATGAAACAGACTGATAATTCGATATTACCAAAACCAGATGATGCACTGATCCAGGATAATTGAATGTATTAATTTAGATACAACTACTATGTTTCTGGGAGATTACTAAGGCATGCATTTATATCCTTGTAAATATATATCCTGTATAAATTTTGTGGTAAAAAAAAGAAAAGAAACAGAATGTTACTAACACATTTTTAATTGACTTGCAAAAAGAATGAACTGTTATCACATAACACACACTTCCATACTAGCCCATATCTAGCGGTTTTAAGGCAGAGCCTCTGAAGTCAAATGCAGTAATAGCCATAATACTTGGTTCAACATCTTTTAGATTTGCTTGCTGTTTGGATGCTAGGGTGCAAGAACAACCTACCTGCTATTACTAACTATTCCCTTTCCCTAAATACACATGTATTTCATTTGAGAAAGGTAAGCAGAAATGTCTATTTATTTCCAATCATTTTATCTGCCTCATTATCCACTATATTGAGTGTTCATTAAAAACCACACCTTCATTTTTCATTTTACCCATCTGCTTGGAATTTGAAATAGCAAGATTTCAAGGTGAATTGCAGATGAACACCCTTAAAATTGTATCACTGGCAATGGAACCAGAASCAGTTTTGGTGACTGAATAATCTCCAGATACTCCATCCAGGCAGTGTCTTCATAGCTGCTTTCACACAAAACAAAAAGCACAGCATAAGAAAAAACCCCAAAAGCTCCTGCCCTGCATTTAGAAGCTGCTTTAGTATGCAGTCTTGTTTATCAAAAGAAAAATGTTGGTGTTTTCTAGGCTACGCTTACAGCATCTTCTACGCATGAAAGCTGTCGCCATCTCTTGTCAAGGAGACGCAGCATGCCGAAGGCCCGTCGGACACAAATGACTGCCTTTCCCTGCTAATTTAGAGGTCTGCAATGAGTATGTTTAAATATGAACCTTATTCCACATGGAAAACATCATCTGGCGAGGAAATCTTCTATTTTTAACTTTCGAAAGCTCTGCCTTGCCGACCTAATTAATATTATGAATAAGGTAGCTCGGAGACGGCTATGAAATGCAGTAAAGGATACCTTGGACTATTTCAGAGGGAGTATTTTGAATTGTACAACCATTTTCAGAAGCCAATATTCAAGCAACTATTTTTAAATACTTGATAGAACCATTTTAACTTACTTTGATGGTGCTACTCTTATGCCTTTTCCCACACAGAGGTTTGGCACAACACTGTCGACACGGGGCAGCTGCGTGTAGGCACGAAGGGAGCAAGCCCCTAACCACCCTGGGGGTTTGAAAGCCAAAACCTCTTGTCCTAATTTTATATGTCGGTAGCTACATGGTTAGTCCATAGAAAGCYACTGGGATATATTATAGTTCTACGACACAAAAAGAGGAAAATGGGTTTGATTTATGGCAGACCGGCTCTGCTGGAGTTGGTGGATCTCTTGATTTCCTGCACCTTACACATTTGTACCTTAAACCGAGGAGCAAGCTTTCTTCTCCAGCATCTCCAACACATATAAATATGCACGCACTGATGTCTTGTTCCTTCACTGCTGTCTTCTTAATTTGCATCTCCAATCTGCCGGTCTTGCTCCCAACAATGGTTATCCTAATTCCTATTAGCAGCCTTTCTGCTTCCATCAGTCTCCAGTGGGCCATGCATGTGTTCCGTGGCATCCCAAGTACAAGATGGATGAGCCTCTGAAGGAACTAATGAAGGGTCCAGGCCCAAGGGAGAGGGAGAGAATGTGTAGCTTTGTGTGGGGCCAGTGTGGCAAATTGCTTCATATCTCCGTTACCTAATAATATTAGTGAAAATTAAGGGRAGGCAAGACTTGCAAGACTGAGCTATGTCCGCATCCTTGTGATAAATGATCTTCTTCATTTAAAAATTCATTATGGAAGATTTCCTCGCYTTCACATAAAACCCATATCTTTTACTGTCTTCAAGCTATGCAAAGGGATTTTTTTCACATCCAACTGGAAGTGGGAGGCCATAGCAAGAATAGAGCTGCCTCTTGTCACTGTGAATTATGCTAGAGCAGTCCCAAAACGGGGTAAGAAATAGAGACAGTAAAGGCTAAAAGCAGCCTAGCAGAAAGAAGACCCCTCATCAGTTGCTTTTTAACATGCAGCTATGCAGAATGATATTGCTGTGTCAGCAGATCCTATCAGCAACATCAAATATTTTTCCTGCGATTCTCTGAGAGGCTTTATCAAATTAATTAGCAAAATCTCCGAGGAAAACTTATCTCTATGCAGTTTATTGTGTTTTTCCCCTCGATATTTATATAGCAGACAAAGAAGGTGGGTCTCTAAGTAAGCTGGAGGATACATGGTACAGAAAGAGAAAGTCACTCACCTACAACCTGGATAATTTCAGCTAATAAAACGCCGTCAGTCACATCTTGCTGGAGATCCTTTATTAACCTCTTGTGGCCAGATTTTGCTAGGTAGTGATTAGCCCAGTCGGTATAAATCTGTGAGGAGGAAGAGGAACAAACAAAAAAGCAACTGTTAGCAATCACTGCTAAGAGCCAGAGTTGCAAGCTTTGCTTACATCAGCCTGGCAGGCGCTGAGAAAAGGCGACTGCTTTTTCGCCGCCCGAAACAAGCCGGCACCATTAAAATTCAGGGCATTGTGCAGATCAAGTTTTCAGCTTACTATAGAGCGGGGTTTCCTATTCAGAAATCTGACATCAAAGCTCAGAGAAGACTATAGCAAACTTCCAGAAATGTTTCAGCTCGCACAGCTCGTCAGACACTCAGCCGCACGCTCTGCATCCATAACACGTCGTGGAGCAGTTTACCATTTTTACCTTTTTAAGGTTTATTTTGCACTTTCCCTTTCCTACACCTGCCATCGAGAAGCTTCAGAGAGGCTTCTCCAGGAAAAAGATGCTTCTGGGCCAGATGAAGCAAAACAGAAGTTGCACTTTGAGGAATATCGCAATATTATGTACCTTACGCCACTACCTAGCAAGCCCTCCAAGGGCTTGAAGCCTCCCCTCGCTGGCGAGCACCACTTTGCCGTTTCCAACAGGCCTGGAGAACTGATTTTGGTCTGTCAGGCAAGCCTGAATTACCGGCATTTCCTCCCAAAAGCTAGTGAGCTGCAAACAAAGCCGACAAAGCGGCCGCGTCCCAATCCGGCCTCGGTTCACGGCGGCAGCGAGCGCCGCTCCGCGCGCCCGGCGCGAGGCTTGGCCCCCATTGCTGGGCTGCTTATAAAGGAATCGCTTCACGCTGGCTTAGCAAAGAGAAGAAAGGGCTGAGCGAGGAATTTTGGAGTACAAATTGAGCGGTATTTTGGCTAAAACGCGGCAGGAATGGGAAGGGCAAAAGCAATCCCCTCCTGGTAGATCCCAAAACTACAGCAGGGCCTTGAGAGCCAGTCAAGAGGGCTTCAAAGCAAAAAGCATGTGAAAACACAAGAGTTTGGGCTCACAAAGCTGCTCTGTCACATTTGTTTCCTACTGCATTAAGTCCTGTTGCAGTGAGGACCTGCTGCACTTCCCGATCACGCATTGCAAACAAACAGGCTCTGCAGCTCCGCGCGTGAAGCTCGAGGTGTGTGTTTGGTACCCAAACAGCAAGCAGACCTTTAATGCTAGTTGCATCACATCTCATTACAAACACATGCCACRACAAAGAAAAGGCCTATTTAGGAGGTATTTAAAGGAATGGAGCATCATTTCCTTTATAAAACCCTCTGCGGGAAAAYACAGATCTGCTTACTAAGTCTATTTTAAACTTGAGTGCACCGTAGCGCATTGCAAAATGCAAAACACACGTGCGAATGAGGTTTATTTTTTAATTGACGGGGCTCCACGTTGGCAAGCTTAGTGGCATTCTTCTGGAYGCAGTGTTACCCAAGGCCGCTGCTCAATTGTTGTGACCCTCCACAGCCACTGCTCATTTCTATGGCATATATTCAGGTAATCATGGAAACCTTCCAGGATGCTTTCCAAAACCTGTTTGTTGCAAGGCTTTGTAACATAGTACACAAATACGATTCCTAATGTTTCTTTTCCTTTTCCACACAAACAAGGAGGAAAATGTACAATGGTTGCTATTTCGAGACACAAGAAAAATGAAGCACACCGTGTTTTCAAATGTTCAAAAACAGGCAAATAATTGGAAAAACAATAATAAAAGGACTAGGAAAACGCTGCTGAGAAACTTTCCATTCATATATGACTACCTTGGCACATCCATGTTTTTCAGATGTGTTCCCTTCTTGAGTGTTCCTGGATCCTTTTGGCAAATGCATTACAAAATCATTTGTGTTTTAATAGAAAAGAACGTGAGCAGTCCTCTAATTAAAGAATACAAAAGCCCACAACATGAAGTACCCAAGCAATTACAATCCAAAAACGAAATGCACCCAGCAAATATGAAATGAAAGGGAGGAAGCAGAAGTCATACAGACAATAATTTGTTGCAAGCTCTGAAAACCTGGCCTGCATAAATCTGAAGCAAACCATAATTTTCCAATTATCTTTCTGGAAATAAGACTGTCTACATTTAAGAGACAGCTGATGGGAGGTAAATTATACTTCCGATCCTAAGCGCTAGTCTCAGAATATTGATACAAACGATGCACAAGCTCAAAAGATAAAACACGGTGCAAACCTGCAGGAGGTTGGTTGCTGCTCCATTAAATATACCAGCAGAAATCTGTAAAGCTTTTCAGTAATTTTACACAGTATAAAAGCGCTGACGGCAGCTTCACCGTTTTAGTTACCCAAATCAAGCAAAAATCATTATTTGAGAGCATTACAACCACAGCAAATGAGACCACTSAGTTTAACAAGGATCAGCCCATGGAGTATTTAAGCAGGCTCAAAGCTCTGGCTCTCGTTAGAGGCAGACTCAGCTGTTTAGTAGCTTTTTTACCCCACCGCCTGTGATCTTAGGAATCCAATTGCCAGGAAGCAAATTAAAAACAAATGGGAAAGATTTCCCCCCTCCACCCCCCTCCTTTCTGCTTTCAGTCCAGCAGTTTTGAATTAAGAGTTTTACAGGTAAACATTGATTCCGTCAGGGTTGAATTAAGAACATTACACGTAAATATTGATTTTGGAAATATTCTGTGCGTTATGAGCTATAGCCAAAACCCTATTGCAGGAACTGAGCAAGATTTGGAGAAGAAAAATAAAAAAAATCTAAAGCCTTTAAAAGTTTTATGTAAAGAAAAAGGACTGAAGACCAGTATGTCTTAACAATCAGTAAGATTACAGCACTCTGAAATCCAATGCTTTTTTTTAATTTTTTCCTTTCTATATAATATTAAACATATAGATTTCAACCAGTTTCAGATGACAGAGAGWGAGAAGACTCAGAGGAAGAAAAAACTTGCTTCCCAGCTGGGAGACTATTGGAGCTCCAGCCTCAAGGAATATTTCTACCTGGACTAAGATGCCTCGTCTCTCATGTCCAGGATAGGCCTCAGAAGACCGTATCTCAAAATTGAATATTGAAGCAAAGAAAGGTGCATTCGCAGAGCAGGTCGGGTTCTTTGTAGCATCTCAGCTCCACTGTCCTCGTGGCCACCACGCTGAGGTTCTGCAGCCTGAGCAGCTTCGTGTGCTGACCTGCTCGCTCCACGCACCCTGCAAGCACCTTGGCATCACGTCTACCAGCAACTGCAAATCCAGGGATACCAGAAGTGCAAATACCAGGTACCAGGGTACATGGGGGAAGGTAAAATAACCTTCCCGAAAGTAGAGACAGCTTCAATCCCTTTAGAAATACGGGCAACAACTTGATACGGGTCTAAGTACCTCACTTAGCGGTAGCAAAATATCAGCRCTTAAGCTAAGTGCAGCCAAGCAACGTTTCCAGCTATGCTCAGCTTTGGGGAATGAAGCTGTAACCAACCCAAGTCTTCCCTCCTGCTTCGCTGAGGAGAGGGCGGCGATCGCGCCTCTCTTAGCAAGTGGAACTAATCTAAGTGATTTATTTTACTCACATGGGGAAGTGGTTGTTGGGCCAGCTTTAAATTAAATTAATCCTGCGGTGGGAGGTAGCCCAATGAATATTACATCCCAGTGGCCACTTGCACGTATTAACTACCCTTTGAGAGCTCAATAAAAAAGTGGGTAATTTAAACAGCCACCACCGGGGCTATTTCTTTCTCGCCCTTCAAAGCCTCGGGCCCAGCTGGGGAGAGCTATTCTCATGCATATGGCTGCTATTCAGCAGCAAGGGGCTGCCTCGCAGCACACAGGCTCCAAGCAGGGCTGCAAAGCTGAGCCTTGCGAGTCCGTAACGCAGCCTCCGCGTCAACACTGCTTAGAGCAACCTTTTGGGAAGCCTAAACAAGTAATGTGCTTTAAACTGCCTCACCTGAACTCGTTTTATTTTTCCCTACTGAGAATTGTCTAAAACTACATAAAAGCACACTCAAAAACCATACATTTAGCTTTCTGCAGTGGATGTTGGGCTTTTGCATGCCAGTGCTGAGCGGGAGGATCACTGCAGAGGGTGCGACGTTCCCAACTGGAGCGGTGACATTTCCGCAGGCGGAGCGATGCCGAGGCTCCCAGGCCACGGAGAGCCCCCTTCCCAGCGGGGACCCTGCGCAGAGCCCAGCGCGTGGCCGCTCCTCGCGGCCCCTCATTTTAAAGCACGCTCAGAAGTGAGGCTGCATGTACCCGTGCGAGTGGCCCCGAGCGAGACGCGTGGAGACTGCCCGGCCGAGCAGCAAAACCCCCGGGCAGCGGCCAAGAAACGCAGCTGAGCTCCCGCCGACGGAACATAACTGACCCTGGCCTATAAGCAAAGCCACTCATCACCTTCCCCCTCTCACACACAGTCTCCAGCAAGTCTTCAGCGCGCGCCAGGTTATTTTCACAGGGCTCACCTAAGAAATAAGCCCGTTCACATCTACTGCTATGCACAACCAGCAACAGAAAAAGGGCTTTACATTACATCTGAAAAGGCATTGCATTAGAAACCACAGAAGACCTTAAGCATAAGGGAACAAAAACCTCGCTGCCGAGGCTGCAGTTAGAGCCCTGCTCCCCAGCACCGCTACCCTTATTAAGGAGCCGAGATCTGCTTACTGTTTTATAGTGATCACAGGAAAATTTACTTCTCCCACGAGCGGGGACTCGGAAGTTCATGCTACTTATTGGCATATTTAACACGAGCGTATATTGCCGGCGTCCAGCGCGCTCCTCCTTCTCAAGGGGACTGCCCTCCCAGGGCGATATATACCCGGGCCGGCGACGGCCGGGCGGTTAATTTTAGCTGAAGACCCGCGTGCACCGTGCTCAGATTTCTCCAGCCGTCACATTTCCCTGGGTTGGCAACTGCGGCCCCCCCGGCAGCTCTTCCTTTCCACCTCCACTGCTTTGAAAGGAGATTTCAAGCAGGATCCGTGTGTTCTTGCGTGCGCTGGGCACCTCTAAGGGTGACTTGCAGCAAGCTGCAGTTTGGCTGCTCTTTTGTGCAGTGTGTTGTGTGGGTGAAGAGGATATTTTTAAAAATCCTGCCTGGATTTTTGCAGGGTCTCTTGCGTGATGAGAAGAGACATTCTGCTCGCAGCAGGGGACAACTCCACAGTGCTCCCTTTGCTTTGGGGGATTGACACTCTGGATGGAAATCCAAAATGTTGCTGTTTTCCTCTACACTTAAAAGAGACCAAACAAAAATCCAGACGTACGATTTTCTGAACTTYGGAGAATTAATGTTATGGATCAAAGTTTTGGAAAATATATCTATGGCAAACATTAGCTCAAAAAAATATGTGGCTGATTAGCCTTTAAGCGGATACCTGCAAAACCCACCTCTCTTCCTGAGCAGGAGCTGGAGAAGGGATCAAGGGCTGCCCTCTGCATGAAACCCCACAAATGCCACCACCACCATGCACAGCGGGCAAGCCTTAAAGTACAAAACCCAGACCTGTCCTTTGGAAACCGCCCGGCTTTCCTTTTATATCAAAAAATCTGCAAATGTTGACAAGGTGAGGAGCGGCGACACGTTCACCTCCCCTCTTGCYAGGGCGAGGGATAGACGCCCGACAGGTTTCACTGTTTACTTTTGGACAAGAGCACTTCTGCCAGGACAAAACCTATCCGGGCCTTTTAACTGCCTCCCGAAAAGTCAATAGCTCCGCAGCCGCCGTGTCTCCAAGCTCGGCCGTATCCCCACAAGGCGGCCCAGGGGAGAAGCAGGACCCTCTGCGTGTCCTTCCCCATGGGAGCCCCTTGCTGCCCACGTGGCCTCTGCAAAACCCCACGGCAGAATCCGACTTGCAGGGCAGCAGCCCACGCACAGACTCGTTCTCGCTTCTCTCGACCGCCTCCTGAAAAAAACATGAGCGCTAATCTACTAAAACGGTGTTGACAGTTGGGAAGCAATAAGAAATGCAAAAAATACATATTAAATTCATCCCGCGGGCACTTGACTCCGTTTCAACTGCCACAACGCACGAAGATGCCAGGCTGTCTGACCCAGACAGTGAGGACGCAGACGTTACCAAGGCTTTTAGGAGCCAACAGCAGCAGTTTGCTGCAGGGATGAGATCTTTGCAGATTCTGGCCTTCTGCCTTGCTCTGGAGCCTCCTTTTCTGTCCGAGAAGGCCAGGAGAGCTCGGCAGCCCGTGACAAAGATGGGACTTCATGGCCGGGGCTGGCCGGGCCCCGTCTGTGCCACGCGCTGGGGGCACCAGCTTGGTGCCAGCAGCAGCCATGCCCTCGCTGGCAACAGGGGCGACAACAACAGGAAAACTAAGGGCTCCGAAAACTAAACCAAATTGTGAACTCTCTTTCTTAAAGCAGGCGAAACCTGCGTGTTTCTAGACCCAAGTGTCTTTCGCTCTGTTGGATTATAACAAAGCGCCGTTTTTCTTCATTTTCTTCCCCTTCCCCAAATCCCCTCCAAGCCCCCAGCAGCCTATTCACCTACCAAGAGGCCAAGATCTGGAGAGGGAGGGAAAACAGAGGGAGGAAGCAGGATTCAGACTGGAGGAAAACACTTGGCTTGCCTCAAGCACGCACTCGAGTCGCAATTACTTTGAGAAAACCTTGCAGACCTTTAGCTCTCCTGAACAGGAATGTGGCACCAAAACCAMCCAGAAAAAGCAGAAATCAATTCCGACGTTTCTGCAGATAATTCACAGCAGGGGGAAGAATGAGAAGAGGTTGATCATCCTTCCAAAAAGCGTTTGTGTGTCCTACTAATGCTTCTCTTCCTCTTCTCTGCTCTTCTAATGTTTCTGCTCTTGGGCGCTGTCAGAAAAGGGACAGTTGGCTAGACAAATCTGAGGTGTGACCTAGTTTTGAAAGCCCTATTTTTATTTTAAGCTGCGTTTTTAGGATGGTGAAAAATAATTTGTGACAGCCGAGCATTAATTTGCATGGCAAAGCCCGGCTCCCGAGGACGCCCGGAAAGACGAGGTCTCTCCGAAGGGCTCAGCATCCCGATCAGAGGCAGATCCTCACGAGAGCTCGTCTCATTTGGTCATCAAAAGCAGTAGTCAAATTTTAAGGAGACTTCAAACACTTTAAAAACTTAAGCTAGGGGTAGATTTCCAGCATTTTTCAAGGAGGAAGAGGGAGGGACGAACGTACACACACTCCACATCTAAATGACCTGAAATGTTTTGATAAAGAGATTTTCTGGAAATCGAATTCTCATATTTTAAAGGACTAACAACTACTTATCCATAGGTGGCAGCATTTCTGTTTTATGTCATTTGCCATGTTGCTGAATGTAATAGAAATTGGGCTACCACTCAGCCATAGCTAGAGCTTTGCCATATTTCACATTGAAGAATAAGGGGGCCTTCATATATTGTTCCAGCTAAGTGGTTAGCAGACCACACAAGGATCTTTTTTATATTTTCAAAATTAAAAAATAAAGTGTTGAATTAATTTCCACAAACATAATAATCCTAATCTCATCATCTCGCAGCCGGCCATCTGTTTCGCAAATGTAAATCTAACCAAATCTTCTACTGATTGATAACATTCTAAATTCAATTGCCTATTAAGGCCCTGCTTTCAGCTCGCTTCTTCCTGCTTCCAATTAAAGCGCTTGGAAGTGTTTCCTATACAATGACCTATGTGTCAATTATATAGTGAAGATGTATAGCAGCTGGGTAAGTGTTAAAACGGCGTATTTGGCCYTGCATCAAAATAAAACGTGCCGAGAAAGGCAGTGCCCGTATCTGTGTGGAGAGAGTGTGACAGGAGGAAAAGGGAGTCCGAAGAGTGAGAACCTCTTRGATGTTCCCCAAGGTGGCCTGCTCCCTGACACCACATGTGGTTGTCTGATCCTGGAGACTTTAAGAAACGCCCAACAGGACCCAGTTGGAGGGATTTAGAGTTTAAGGCCACGCGTATGCGTAAGGAGCACTTACAGATATGCTGGTTATCAGTTCCCTCTCTTTCGGACGAAGAACGGCCCTGATTGATCTAAGAGCAACTTTCCGGGCCGCGGTGCCTGTTTTCCGGGCGCTGCCGGAGGCGGCCGGTGGGGCTCAGCAGACCGTCGGCCTAATGTGCT